GGATTAGCCTGTCTCCGCCTGCCTACCTTTTGTTCTAGCTACTCGAGTCATCGACTCTCACTTGTACTTACTCAGATAGACAGAATACACTCAACGAACAACCCCTGCCATTGTGGCAATCTCCCTTTTCCTAGTTGTGGGCTGGCGTCGAGACTCATTTACTTGTGTCACGCAACAATCCGGTAGCAACGCTTTACTCCGCCAAAGGTCTTATTGCAAGACTGGAGACGATCCTCCTAGGTTTTCCGTGGCACTACGCTCGGTTTTCCTTATTCTCAGATCCCCCACTTCCTCACCTACTCGTCGAATCCTCTTCCTCTCGACACCCTTTTCCTTTGTTCATTTCAATCGTTCATTTCCTTTGTCGTCTTCATGCCGAGAAACATCAGTAACAAGGAAATCAAGAGCCTGAATATCGATACAAAGCCACTGGGAAAACGCAACGCAAAAGCTCCTCACAGATTTGGGTCAGAGCAGTCTACAGCTTAACCCTTCCCTCCCCCGGTTGCATCTCCCCTAGCGCTACGAACACCTGTTCGATCACATCAGAGAACATTTGATTCCGACTTGGCCCTTGCTATTGGAACGCCCCTACCTCGATCAGCTGAAGTACCTGCCTCACGACCTGGAACAATCGCAGGCGAGGAAAACTAAGAAAGAGTGGGACGCGTCACACCATAAGTGATCGGGGCTTTCTTTCCCTCTTTAAGCACAGCAAGAGCTATCGTTGCCACCTCCATCTAACCTAGCTGTCATCCCTCGTGGCAGGATAAGTCTTCCCAACCGTTACCTATACAACGTCAAGGACACTTCTCGTCCAAGAATCGCTCCGTTGCCTACGGCAGCTCGTCCTATTGCTTCCCATCAAACGCCTTCAGCAACTGAGAGACCCAACCCCTCTCCCCAGCACTCAGGACTCAGACTCAACCACTCTGAGTAGAGAAACCACACGCTCACCGGACTTGGGTTTTCGTTCAGTCAATCAACGACCCGACCAGACCGAGAGGCGGCTATCCGTCGACTGGCCATTGGTTTCCAGTCCATCCCAACTAAGCCATCGAACCTTCAATTCATCCTTGCTGCTGAAAAGCCAATCAGACATCATGGACCCAGGTTCGGCTGGACCCTCAGCGGTATCGCTCAGATGATCATATCTTCACCGAGGCTGGAACACAAATCTTCCTTGCTCGGTTCAACACGGGACCGATGCCCACACCGGAGCCTCCTATTGTGGCCGAGTCAGCCCAAGATCGTCGACGTCGGCGCCAATTCCACGACATGCCTCAAGTCGTGCCTGAACCAGTTAGACCTTCACAAGCAAGAACACCTCCGGGTATGCCGGTGTCTCCAATCCGTTCGCATGTTGTCACTGTCCCAGGTAGATACCAACCCCCACCTCGTGAGTGGAGCATGTTTCCTGGTGCTGCCCACGGATATGGTGCTCGACCTGCTCCTTATGCCACAGGATACCCTTGGCCGAATCTTACTCAACCATTTCAGCCCCCTCAACCTGGACCAACGGGAATCACCCAAGGTCGTTACGCTCCTCCGGTTGCGGCTCCTTATACAACTGGCCTACCGTCAGTCTCAACCCGTCGTCGTGACCGCAAGCTCAAGGCGAGCGACATGGGCGAGTTCAACGGACAGGGTGTCACTCTGTTTGTCCAGAGAATCACTTCCATGGTCAACCGATACGGACATGACGCGGTCCTGGAAGTCCTGCCATTGTGGCGATCTCCCTTTTCCTAGTTGTCGGCTGGCGTCGAGACTCATTTACTTGTGTCACGCAACATCTAGCTTTCCCAGATCGCAGACGACTTCCCCAATGCCCAAGTTCGCGTGGACAGCGGCTCGCAGGCCGTAGTCGGCACCGTGCGGCGCCTGCTCGTCGCCTCCTGCATTCGACGGCAAGACCATCGCACGCATTCCCCCACTCATCTGCTACGACGTTTCCTGTCCGTCTGGCGAACACGCCGACGCGCAGTACCTGTGCCGGGCAGAGTCCTCGGCCAGGGTCTCACCTTGACTCGGGCTCACCGCGGAATCCTCGTGGAACCTAGCCACTACACTGCGGTCGAGGCACAGAATGCGGATCGAATACATCGACTGCGCTGTCGGACCGACAAGCGTCGCTTCTACCGCCTTGTCAATCCCGAATGGCGGATCGAGCGGTTTCTCATCGAGTCCTAAGTGTTGCAGCGCGACTCGTAGAACAGCGTCGAATGGATGGAGGCTCTATCCGCATCCCCTCTCGAGCTAGATGACCCGGGGTCTGGGACCGTTAAGGAGCTCATCTAGTCTCGTCTGTCGACGGTCCGTGGATATAAGCTAAAGTGCAACCAAGGGTGACGAGGAATTCCCTGGAGTTTTTAAGGTCATGGTCGATGTTTCATTGTGCTCGGAGGGAGGAACAATACTGGTGTACATCGCCGCGATGCTGAAGATAGGAGACTTGAATGCGTGCTCGGGCATCGGTGTGGTGCTATAGCTGAAAAATTTCCTCCGTACCATCTTATGAAGCAATCAAGACCACTCGGCGCTCTGTGGTGTGGATGACGCTGTTGCGAGAAGTAAATAAGGATGTCTCAGGATAAAAGTCTCAAAAATTCGTGGATTTGATTACCTGAGTAGACCCGTCGGCGCACGCCTCTGGCCTCTCTGCTATAGAATTACAGTAGTAAACTGGTCGATAGACTTAGCCTGATGGCAAGTGGTGCAGGTTCTATTATCTTCTGGGGCTTCCAAAGGGTCCAGGACGCTTGAAGGTGGTCCTGGAGGTGGTCCCGGGGGCGGCCCTAGGGGCGTGCTCGGCACCAGAAACGTTGCCATCGCCGTCCAAAGTGTATAGCTCATAGGTATGTTTTGCTGACAGTCACAGAGACCTGTGCTCGACTAAAGGCGACGAATGACTGCCCGAGTCCAGAGGACTCACCAAGGAACCCACTGGGTCTTACCACGCCGACTTTGACTGCGAGTCTGACCAGGTCTGTGATACCACAGTTCCACCTTTTCTGACCAACGCCAGCAGGGCCTTCAAGGGCTGCGGATTGCTTCGAGAGGAGAGGAGAAGGGTTCGAAGTGACGATGCGCGATTCAATAGGGCCTGTAAGTCGGTTAGTTTCGCGGTTTCACAACTCAAAACACCGGGATTTTTGAGGGAGAGTTGCCACAAACGCACTGGATGTTGCCAAACAACAGATGGGGACTGTTTAATGAACAGTTGTTGTTCTTGTTGTTGTGTTGGTGGTGATGAAGTTATTGGTATTCAGAATACTGGGCCGGTAGCCGCGGCAACGGCGACGAGTTGCACCGAAAACAAACAACAGAAATTCTGCGGCGATCCTGCGTCCTGGGGGCAGCCCTGGAGGCGGTCTGAAGGTGGTCTTAAGGTGATCTTGAGGCGGTCTGGGAGGTGATCCCACAAGTAATTTTCATCCTGAGGTGGTCTTGGAGGCGATCCTGGAGGTGGCCTTGGGGGTGATGCCGGGCGGTCCTGGGAATTGCCTGCCGGGCACCAGAGATGTCGCCATCGTCGCTCACAAGGTGTAGAGGTATTGTAGCCAAATAGGTATTATTTTGCTAGCAATCACAGAGACCTACGCCCAACAGACCGCGACGAATGGCTACCCGCAGAGTCTTCTCACGCCTACTCTGAGTGCGATCTGCCCGGGGTCTGTGATGCCACACTTCCATATTTTCCAACTAACGCCAGTAGGGCGCTCGAGTTCCACCTTTTCGATACAACGCTAACGCCAACAGGAGCTTCCACAGCTAAGGATCCGAGTGTAGAGGGAGGAGAGGGTTTTGGACCACCAAGGGGGCGATTCGATTGGCCTGTAGATGAGTCAGTCTGAGAGCTCCACAACTTGGTCCACGAGGTTTTTTGAGAGAGACTTTTCACAGACGAAGAGGACGTTGCTAGAGGAATAGATTGAGATGGTTTAATAAAGGCTTGATGAACATTTGATGGAGTTGTTGATGGGGCTATTGATGAAGTTGGCAGTTGCGGAGCTGGCTAGTACAGCCACGACCCTGTACAAGGATTGTCTTGGCGCGTCAGAAGGCACTGAGTTCGACAAGAAAAACAAGCAACACGACAATAACAGCAATGGATCAAGTTTTGAGCCTTGCTTCACAGAGAATCGAGTGCCAGTTGCAGTGAGACCCTATCCTGCATTGTTCCTTGTTTCCAAGCGCCTGTGGCACCCCAACTAGATCACGCATGGTCGTTTGGGCCACTGTTGTTGTTGGTTGTGACGGTATAGCCAGTGCTTCGACCAGGAAACCCTTCTCAATGACCGGCCTGCGAGACAGGCCCCTGTGCATTCTCGCACGTGCATGCCAACTACCTATCGAATCCTCGTACATTGGTGCCTCCATTGAGAGCCGTTGTTCTACGGTTCCTACAAAAGAATTATTGCGGCGGTTGATTGATTGTCTTGAGGAGATGCTGCGTTGAAAAGGACGGAGTTATGATATCGGAACGAGCATTTGAGGGCGGAACGGCCTCGGACGTTCTCCTACCTGGAGATTGAAGACTCGCTATTCAGTGGGCATGCGTTTGACCCTGAAGAACTGAAAGGTGCCTTACCGTGAGGGGTCGAGACATTAGCTCTGGAAAAAGATCTCAAGCATTTTACGCCTCTTCCGAATCCACCGAAGGACTGTACAGCAGAAATGTCTACAACGAGACGTGATTGGTCACTGAGGGGTACTGTTGCCTGAGGCATCAATGCTATCAGGCATATAGATATCCGTCTACTACCCAGGACGAAAAAGTGAGGAGCGAAAAAATAACAGAAGAAACAGGTCGTCCTGGAAGACACTCAAAGAAGACAGAAAGAGAGAGGAAGTATTCAAAGCCTGAAGATCTCCTTAAACAGCCCCAGGTTCGCTGGGAATGCTTGAGCAGTCACTCAGTCAAGCGGTCTTTAGTGCATTCTCAGGACGATTACATTAGTCATTTTGACATCAAATGGAAGCGTTCTAATCGGTCTGAATTGATAGACCTTGTGACTTTGCTTGATAACAACAGAACCTCTTGCCGCGACTGGTGCTTCGACGTGGGCCACGGCGGTGATCAGGACAGTAGCATCGGGGGACAGACAGTATACGTAAGTTCCGAAGAAGATAAAAATCATCGAGTGTGTAAGAAGAAGAAGAAGAAGAAGAAGAATGTAACGAGGGATAGGAGCAGCAAGGGCTGTATGTCCTTCATCCTTGGTTGGGTGCGTGTTGAGTACCCCGTACAATATCTCCTTCGTCCAGAGGACATATCATTGCCGTCCATCTTCAATCTCGTCCCAGGGTCTCCAGGGGCCGCGCGAGTTGCCCATGGACTCCCCATAACGTCTCCAGCTTTTACTCCATTCTGGCGTACCGCTCTCTGGCCCTCTGTCGCGTCTCTTCCAAGAACCCGCCATAATCGCCTTTGGTGTTTCGCTCCGCTTCAACAATTGCATCACCAAGTTTCCCGCCTTGCGCGCTGAGAGGTCTTGACTGATCGGCGTGGTCATGCCCTCTCCAGAAGCACCCAGTCCTTGTCCGGCGGTATAGCCCATCTTGCTGAGCAACGAAGCGCCCTTGGACTGAACAGGTGCCGGCGGGGTCTCATC